GATATCCCAAGATGTATCATAATGGCGTCCTCTGTGTGCTGCCCACTTCCCTGATCGAGGCAATTCTTCTGGGCATCGTTTCTGGCTGGGCTGGTGGGAATTCGCGAAGCGTCAACAATTTGTGATGTTCACATCTGTCTTGCATTTAGGCTGCGCAAACGTTGTGCATCAGAGTGCCCTCCCGATCCCTGAAAGGTATTCCGGGGAGCGCGCGCACTCTGGCATGATTATGCAAGCTGACACGTTAGAAGGCAAGCTGGTCGATACTATAATCAAAGTCCAGGCCCATCTTGACCAAGATGAGGAAGGCATATCGGCACGTGAGCGTCTCATTAGGCGAGGTAATGCGGATGCCGATGCTGGGGCTAAGCATGGATTGCAGCTTCATCCCTCTGCCCCGGGTGGTATGGTAGATGTAAATGATTCGGTAGATGCGGCCAGGGCGTATTGCATGCTAGCTGCGAATGCGCGTCCGCTTTGGCCGAAGCTGTCCCTGGATGTGCCGTACTCCCCACCTGTGCTTATTGCTCCTCCTCTGAGGTCCCCCCCCCCCACTCCGCACAAGTGGGAGATGTGGCCAGGTGTATGAAGATGTGTTGCGTGCCTGAAGGGCAGGCGTGCTGGCGAGCGCCCTCCCCCATGCAACTGTGCCAACGTTCCCAAACGTCATGCTGCACGGCGGCAAGAGCTAAACCACCGAACGGTGCCGTTCGACTGCTCGGATGGCTCGGTGCGTTTTATTTGCTTGAGGTGCAAGTGCTAGTCCTCGGGCGCCTCTGTCCGTGGCATTGCCTCGGAATGCGCGACTCCTCTCAGTCCTCCCAGTCGTGCCGCTCGATGGGAAGGCTCTGTGTGAGGGCAGCCATCCTAACTACTCGCGGCAGAAGCTCGGAGCGACGGTCGATCTCGACAATTGTATGGCCGGTTTCGTCACCTCGATCTTTTATGGATCTGATCCGGTGCGGGAGGGTCGATCCATGTATTTCTGGCGACTCAGGCTAGCCTCACATGTCGGTAAACCAGTCTGCGTCGAGTGCTGGCAGGTCCCGCAGTCAGCATGTGCAACTCAGCGGTGGGTCCCGTAGAGGTCAAAACAAATCCTCCTCCTCCTCCTCCTCCTCCTCCTCCTCCTTCTCCTCCTCCTCCTCCTCCTCCAACTCATCATCAACAACATCATCATCATCATCATCATCATCATCATCATCATCATCATCATCATCATCATCATCATCATCATCATCATCATCATCTTTCCCCTCCTCCTCCTCACCCTGCTCCTCTTCATCCTCTTCTCCTCCTCCTCATCCTGATCCTCCTCCTCCTCTTCCTCCTCTCCCTCCTCCTCCTAGTCCTCAGATTCCTGATATTCCTCCTCATCCTCCTCACCTTCTTCGTATTATTCTTCATATTATCATTCGTATATTATTAGTAGTATTAGTATCCTTCTTAATGGTACTATTCCTATTACTATTATTTGCATTATTACTACTAATAACACTAGTAATAGTATGAGTTGCTTTTGTCTCTATACTAGTAGTCGTCTGAGTAGTACTCCCTATAATTATCATGAGTAGTATTAGTTTTCTTATTGCTATGATAAGTATTTGTATTATAATGATGCGTCTTATTATTGTTCCTCCTCCTCGTCATCATCAGCAGCATCGTCATCATCATCATCATCATCATCAGCAGCAGCATCATCATCATCATCATCATCATCATCATCAGCAGCAGCATCATCATCATCCTCATCCTCATCCTCATCCTCCTGATCATCCTGGTCCTCATCCTGATCATGATCCTGATCCTCGTCCTCCTCCTCCTCCTCCTCGTCCTAATCCTCCGCCTCCTCCTAATCCTCCGCCTGATCCTCCGCCTGATCCTCCTCCTGATCCTCCTCCTGATCCTCCTCCTCCTGATCCTCCTCCTCCTCCTGATCCTCCGCCTGATCCTCCGCCTGACCCTCCTCCTGATCCTCCTCTTGATCCTCCTCCTCCTCCTCCACCTCCTCCTCCTCCATTCCTTTTACTTATCACTAACGCCTCCCTGTCGCACCCCAATGCAAGTTTTTAGGGCGGTCTGGACGTTGCGCCTGAGACTTCGGCGGTTCCTTTTCAATATGTGGCTCTCGCCTCAGCGCCGCGCAAATTCGTTTTCAAAAATTGCAAGAGCTTCACATATTGAGTACGGCTCCTTTTCAAAATGTAGCACACTCGTCTTGAACATTTGCAAGAGTTTCACGGATGCCCATGGCCAGCATACCAAAAACTGTGTTTCTGCAAGGATTCAAGATTATGAGGCATAACAGTTACGTTGATCCGCTGTGTTGAAGTCGCAGGAATGGTGTTCTAACACAATTCCAGATCGTCAAAACGCAGCAGTCAGGTGGATCCGTGGCGTCGGAACCCCAAGAACACTGTTTTGGCATGCTTCAGGATCTTCGAACGGAACAAGGCAGTTCACTCAGTGGAAATGAACCGTTGTAGGGGCCTACGAAAACGGAGCTTAGAGGGAGGGTTCATTCCAACATCGTTGATGACTCTGGGTTTCCACTGGCCCTCCTCCTCCTCCCCCTCTCCTCCTCCTCCTCCTCCTCCCCCTCCTCCTCCTCCTCCTCCTCCTCCTCCTCCTCCTCCTCCTCATCCTCCCCCTCCTCCTCCTCCTCTTGATCGGACCTGGAGGCGGCAGGCGAGCGCACGCTGGCGGCGCGCGCCGCCGCCATGCGGGGCCCACCCTTCGCGGACGGCGCCGGAAGCTGGCTGCGACCAGGTGGTGGTGGGAGAGGAGGAGGAGGAGGAGGAGGAGGAGGAGGAGGAGGAGGAGGAGGAGGAGGGAGGATCCGTGAAACTCTTGCAATGTTTAAAACGAGTGTGCGCGGCGCTAAGGCGAAAGCCACATGTTAAAAACCAACCGCCCTCCATCTGTCAAACTGTTGCCACTTGTTAAGCTTCAGAGTCGTAAATGGTGGGGAAGTCTCAAGCGAAACGCCCTACCCCCCTAAAAACTGGCCTCGGGGTGCGAAAGGGAGAAGTTATCTAGAAGGGAAAGGACTGGAGGAGGAAGATGAGGAGGAGGACAGGTGCAAACCCAAGAGTCATCAACGATGTTGGAATTACCCCTCCGTCCAAGCTCCCTTCTTCACAGGCCCCTACAACGGTTCATGTCCATTGAAGGAACTGCTTCGGTGGAAGACAACTGTTTGAAGACCTTGAAGCATGCCAAAAGATTGTTCTCGGGATTTCCACACCACGGATCAACCTGACTGCTGCGTCCTGACGATCGGGAATCGTGCCAGAACGTCGTTTGTGGGACTTCAAAGCCGCGAACCAACACAACTGTTGCACCCGCATAATCCTGAATCATTCCAAAACACCGTTTCTGGTACGCTGATCATGGGTATCCGCGAAACTCTTGCAAGTTGTTAACACGAATGTGCGCGGCGCTAATGCGAGAGCCACATGTTGAAAAAGACCCGCCCTCAATCCGTAAAGTTCTTGCAAATTGTGACTCGCAAATTGTTAAAAGGAACGTACGGGGCGCTAGAGCGAGAGCCACATTTTGAAAACCACCCGCCATAAATCTGTGAATCGCGTCCAAATTTCTAAAACGAGTGCGCGCGGCGCAAAGGCGAGAGCCACACTTTGAAAGCGGCCCGCCCTCGATCCGCAGATTGCTTGCAAAATTTGAAAACGAATGTGCGCGGCGCTAGAGCGAGAGCCACATGTTGAAAAGGAACCGCCCTCGATCCGTGAAGTTCCTGCAAATGTTTAAAACGAATGTGCGCGGCGCGAAGGCGAGAGCCACATTTTGAAAACGACCCACCATCCATATGTGAAACTGCTGCCACACTGTAGGCTTCAGAACCATAAATGGAGAGGAAGTCTCAGGCGAACCGCTCGGCCCGCCCTAAAAACTGGCCTCGGGGTGCGACAGGGAGAAGTTATAAGGAAGAGGAATGGACGAGGAGGAGGAAGAGGAGGAGGAGGAGGAGGGAGGAGGGAGGAGGGGGACGGAAGAGGGGGGCGGGGGAAAGAGGGGTGGGAGGGGCGAGGAGGAAGGCGAGGAGAGGGCGAGGTGAGGCCGAGGGAGGAGGGGAGGAGGGGGAGGAGGACCAGTGGAAACCCAAGAGTCACCAACGATGCTGGAATAAACCCTCCCCCCAAGCTCCCTTTCCATAGGCCCCAACAGCGGTTCATTTCCACAAAGGGACCTGTCTCGTTGGAAGACAACCGTTTAAAGACCCTTAAGCATGTCAAAACATAATTCTCGGTATTCCAACGCCACGGATGAACCTGACTGTTGCGTCTTGACGATCCTGAATCGTGCCAGAACACCATTCCTGGGACCTCCACTCCGCGAATCATCGTAACTGCTGCGCCCTCAGAATCGCCAATCCTTCCAGAACACAATTTCTGGTATGTCGGTCATAGGAATCCGTGAAACTCCTGCTGCGAAGCGAGTTCGGAAAAAAATACGACCCAAACATCCGACGCCGTGGTTTGTTTCAAAACCCAGCTCCTCAGCAGAGGTCTGAATCCCTTCCCAGGGACTGGTTCTTCGTCCCGAGGCGCGTCTCACGGTCCCCGGAATCCAGGCGAGGCTGAGGCCGCAAACGGCCAAGAACCTTCCGTCGTGCTTTTGTTGCTCGCAACGCGAGTTGCCGCGCTATCCGTTTCCCCCATCTCAAAATCTTCGAAACAACCTGAGCTCAAGCTGGCGAGCAGGTCCAAAATTCCAACTTCTGGCAATAACATGAGAGCCCTCACAAACTGCCGAACCTGGAGCAGCAACTGGGCGCTGGCGGTGCACTGTCGACCGCAAGGGGGTCGTCGTCGCCGCCGCCGACGCGGGGGAGGAAAGCGAGGGTAGGAGGAGGAGGAGGAGGAGGTGGAGTAGGTGGAGGAGAAGGAGGAAGAGGAGGAGGAGGAGGAGGAGGAGGAGGAGAAGGACGAGGAGGAGGAAGGACGCCGTCGCCGCCGACGCGGAGGAGGACACCACTTTCTCGGGCAGGCCGCGGCCGTCGGGCTCGCGCCCGGCCGCGCGGCGCGCAGCCGCTCCAGCAGCAGGGCCCGCCGCGCGGAGCCGCAGGCGGGCCACTCCCAGAAGCCTGGGCCCGCCGCCCCGCCGCCAGCGACGACCGCGACGACGACGCCGTCGACGACGCCGCCGCCGCCGACCACGACGAACACGACGACGACGACGACGACGACGACGACGGCGACGACGACTCCCAGAAACCTGGCCCGCCCCGCCACGGGGGTGAAGCGGTGCCGCCTCCTCCCCACTCGTCGCCGCCACCACCACCAGCACTCTCGTCGCCATCAATGTCGTCATCACCATGACCATCATCACCACCACCACCACCATCATCATCACCGCCATCACCACCCTCATCATCATCATCATAATCATCATCATCATCATCATCATCATCATCATCATCAGCAGCATCATCATCAGCAGCAGCAACATCAGCATCAGCATCAGCATCAGCATCAGCATCAGCATCATCATCATCATCATCATCATCATCATCATCATCATCATCATCATCATCAGCAGCAGCAGCAGCATCAGCATCAGCATCAGCATCAGCATCATCGTCATCATGATCAGCTTATGTTTCAGCATCGTCATCAGCAGCAGCATCATCAGCATCATCATACGCATAATCATCATCATCACCACAATAATCATCATCATCATCATCATCAGCAGCAGCAGCAGCATCATCATTATCAACAGCAGCATCATTATCATCGTCGTATTCGTCGTCGTCATCACCATCACCATCGCTATCGTCATTGTCATCGTCGTCGTCAGCAGCAGCATCGTGGTCACCGCCACCACCAAAACCACCACCTCTCCAGCCCGGCCTCCTGTGGGGCAACAAGAAGGCATCGATACCACTACTTCTCAGACCTCTCAAGGGGCACGTTCCTTCGCAGCGAATCCAGCGGTGGCGACGAGAGGCACCCCAGGAGGCCCAAAAAGGCGGAAACTATGCAAGGTCAGTGGTATCGATGCCTTCTCCTTCCCAGTGGCCCTGCCTCTCGAACCGCCTCCCGCGAATCGAGACACCAGCAGCACAAAATCGGTCCAGACCACTCCTGGGGTCTAAACGCACCAGTTGCCCGAGCTGCGCCTAGCCGTGGCGACGAGAGGGCTCCCCGAAGGCCAACCACTGCGGTCTCGATCGGCCTTCCTCTGAGACCCTGCCTTCAGAGCCTCCTCCGGCGGCCGAACGGCCCACCCCCACTAGGCAAGGGCGTTCCACTACTCGCGAAGTGGCTACTCGCAAATGGCCTGGATCCGCCGCGGGGGATTCACGATCCATCACATCGAGGAAGAGATGTATTTTTCGGACGTTTGCGAGTAGGCACGTTGCGAGTAGTGGAACGCGTTCGGTGACCCACCCCTCCGACGCGCGCCACCGCGCCGTGCTGGCGCTCCAGCGCGCGCTGCTTGAGCAGGCTGACCGCCAGTAGCTCGCGGGCACCTCCGCCGTGATAGAAGCGCTGCGGGCCGTCCACCTCGACAGCGGTCGCGCTCGCCCCCTGCCATGGAGGGCGTCAGCTGCACTCCTCCTCACCCTCCTCCTCCTCCTCCTCCTCCTCCTCCTCCTCCTCTCCTCCTCTTATTCTCCTCTTCTTCTGATGATTCGTCATATGAATAATATTATTGCTTTGTTTCTTAGTATTGGCATCAAACGTATTATTAGTATTAGTAGTAGTATTCGTGATAATATTATGTCTCTGGCATACCGTTAATACTATATGATTATGGGTATGATCTATATAAGTATGGGTATTACTGCTTGAGCTTCAATTATTAACAATATTATTCATAATTTCTAGCGCTAGTGCTAGCATGAGTATTCGTACTACTAGTACTAGTTGTACTAGTAGTATTCGCGTTAATCATAGTAATAGTAGTAGTACTAGCACTAGTAGTTTCATTATGGCTAGTACTATAAATATTATTGATGTGCTTCTTATTAAAACTATTCTCACTAATCTCAGTAGTATCATTAGTCTGAATATTACTATTACTAAAATTAGTATGTGTAGTATGATCATCCTAAGATAATAATAAGCATATGATGTTCCTGCTTATTGCTTGCTGCCATTACTCTTAGTGTTACTATTAATTGGGGTCCTGAATACTAAGATGAGTATCGTTCCTCGTACTATTAGTCATACTGTAAGCTAAAATGGTATTCATATTATTCGTTTTAGTATTAACAATGATAGTCGTGTTAGTCTTAGTTGTCTTATTATTATGATTATCAGTATTCTTACGATTACGAATCATAATATTATCATTCGTCTTAGTATCAGTATTAGTAGTAGTATTAGTATCATGAAGCTTAATAGTATGATATTCCTCGTTTATGATTATTCATATGTGAGTATTATGTTTATGATTATTATCCTTGAAAGTACAATTATGAATATTATTATGTTGTATTAGTGCCGCTTATCATTGTCATTCGTATTATTACTCATCTTCTCATTCTCCTCCTCCTCCTCCTCCTCCTCCCCCTCCTCCTCCTCCTCATCATCCTCCTCTTCTTCCTCATCCTCCTCCTCCTCCTCCTCCTCCTCCTCCTCCTCCTCCTCCTCCCTTCACCTCCTGGCCTGTGGCCCGTCCTGGCGCCGGGACCGCGCGCATGCTCTCCTGGCCCGTGGCCGAGGAAGCACAGATGCCCAGCTCGCCGACGATACGAATTCTTCCATCCGGGCGGTGTTCGTCGGTTCGGGACGCTGGGGCCCGTTTTGGGGCCCCGGAGCCTGAAAGGACGAATCCGGGCGAAACAATGCCCCCAACAGAAGGGTCGGGGACCAGCGGGGCCGCCCTTGGGAGCGCTTGGAGAAAAACTAACACACACACACACACACACATGAAGTGCTTCTTGCGATCAAGCACTGTCGAAGTCACAATGAACGAGAAGCTGCACACTTGAAGTGCAAACAATGGGTGGTGTGCAAGAAAACTGTGATCCCAAACGAAAACCTGCAGCGGCCAGAAAACTGAGGCGGAGACTCAACTCAAAGTAACTTGAAGTTCAAGCAGATTGGTGCGAATTGGCAGCCACTGGATCACCGACACGACGGCGTCGGGCAGTGTAGCGAAAAAAGAAATGGATTTGCTGCAAGGAGCTAGTCCGGTGCACCGAAAAGCGAATCAGACAGCGTGCAAGAGGGGAAGGAGGGGGGAGGCGTGCGGCCGCGGGGAAAGAAACACACACACACACACACGCGCGCACGCACGCACGCACGCAAGCATGCACACGCATACGCATACGCATACGCATACGCATACGCATACGCATACGCATACGCATACGCATACGCATACGCATACGCATACGCATACGCATACGCATACGCATACGCATACGCATACGCATACGCATACGCATACGCATACGCATACGCATACGCACGCATACGCATACGCACCGGCTGGGCCCAGGATCGACCTGCCCGGGATCGCTGCAGGGTGTCGGTTGGCGCCCCCCGACCTGCCGCACGAGCAGGTCCGCACGCATGGGAGAGCAGAAGACCGCACTTGAAACGGGCCCGAGCGCTACAATCAGCACCGTAGGGCTCGTTCCTTCGTTTCCTCCTCCTCCTCATCCTCCTCCTCCTCATCATCATCATCAGCAGCAGCATCATCATCATCATCATCAGCATCATCGCACATCATCATCATCGCACATCGTCATCATCATCATCATCATCATCATCATCATCAGCATCAGCAGCAGCAGCAGCAGCAGCAGTAGTTCCATAATCATCATCATCAGCAGCAGCAGCATCGCCATCATCATCATCAGAAGCAGCAGCATCGTCATCAGCAGCAGAATCAGCATCATCATCATCATCATCAGCAGCAGCATCATCATCGTCATCATCAGCATCATCATCAGCATCATCACCATAATCGTCAGCATCATCATCACCACCACCACCACCAACATCATCATCACCACCACCACCACCATCATCATCATCAGCAGCAGCATCATCATCATCATCAGCAGCAGCATCATCATCATCATCAACATCATCAGCATCATCAGCATCATCAGCATCATCATCACCACCACCACCACCATCAGCAGCAGCATCATCAGCATCAGCATCAGCATCAGCATCAGCATCAGCATCAGCATCAGCATCAGCATCAGCATCATCATCATCATCATCATCATCATCATCATCATCATCATCATCATCATCATCATCATCATCATCATCATCATCATCATCATCATCATCATCATCATCATCATCATCATCATCATCATCATCATCCTCACGCTCGCAGGCCCACGCAGGCCTCTGGGTCGGCGCTGGACCCCTCCCTCCCAGGAGAGGCCGAGCCCAGACGGAGTAAACCCAGACGGTGGCCGAGCAGTCCGTGCGGACTCACTCCGCACGGACTTGGCATCCTGGAGGCCGAGGCCGAGTCCAGACGGAGCACACCCAGACGGTGACCGAGCACTCCGTACGGACTCACTCCGTACGGACTCGCTCCGCACGGACTTGGCATCCTTCGACCCCCCTCTCCACCCGCTCCACACCCCTCGGGATCCAGCGCCGACCTCCGAGAGCCCACGACCGTGCCGCCGTCCGCCCTCCGGCTGGAAGCCGTGCGCGGGGACGTCGGCGGCCACCTCGGCGCCGTCGACCGCGTCCAGGAGGCCGCGGAAGACCTCCCGCAGCAGGCCCTGGTGAGCATCGTTTAACCGATCCCCACCCCTGGCGGCGTGGCCTGGGCCCCACTGGCCGATTTACCCCCCTAGATGGGGATACAGCCCGTTCCCTTCGGGCTTCGAGGTGTGTATCCCCAACTGGGGTGGTAATTGGGTGGGGGTCTCGAAGGGGACAGGGATGGGGATGGGGGTCGGTCAAACGACACGGACCTGGGGCGGGGGCGGGTCCAGCCGGTGCGCATGGTCCGAGGCCACGCGGGCCAGCTGCGGCAGGGGCCCGCGCCCGTCCTTCTCCGGCAACTCACGGGAGCCTCCCATACCGTCTGGTCGGCTCTCGCGGGTCGACGCCTAACCGACGATCGTCCTGGTCGACGCTACACGGACGCTGCAGCAGCGGAGGCCAATCGACGCCAAATCGGCGCTACCTCATCGAATGCCAGACGCGAGTCGGCGCTAACGCACTCGAGCCACGGAGCAACGACGGTACAGAAGGCCCCCATGATTTGCTACCGAACCCTCCCAGCGCGCGTGCGCGCTGGCCGCCAGCGCGCAGGCGGCACCCTTCGCCACCACCGCCCCCTCGCAGAGCGACCCAGCGCGCGCAACAAGCGCGTCCACCGCCCCCGCCGAGAAGTGCTGGAAGCCGGCCAGAGCGGTAGCCAGCAGCACCCTCGCCACGGCGTCGAGGGGCATCCTCGGGGGGGCGCGAGCCACGCGTGCCCCGCCCCGCCCCTCCTTGGACCCCCGTCCGCCATGATCCCGCCCCCTCCCCCACCACGATCCCTGACTTGTAATGCACCTGTGTGTCTCACCACCGCACTGCGGTGTAAACTTTGGCGCCCCAGCAGAAACGTTTAGTCTCACTGATGTTCTGCGAGTTGTGTGCTGGCTTCTGCTTGACAGGCTCCTAGCTTCATCAGAGCCGCAAGGCCTAGGTCGGGCATGTCCTCCTACAGGCGGGTTTTGGAAGAAAAATGGGAACACTCGACAAAAATCAAAAATAGTCAAAAACACTCAAAAAATCGTCCCCAGGCTATGTTTGTACTATTTTTGAACATGCCGCCTGTAGATGGACACGCCCGACTCAATCCTAGCCTCATCAAAGCCGCAGTCCGAAAAACACAAAAAAGGCCCGCTCCTGCCTTCCACGGCGCGGGGCAGAGATCTGGGGGAGGCTCGCGCCGTGACGTCGGCGCCAGCTTGCGACACATCCTCATCCTCCTCCTCCTCCTCCTCCTCCTCCTCCTCCTCCCTCCTCCTCCTCCTCCTCCTCCTCCTCCTCCTCCTCCTCCTCCTCCTCCTCCTCCTCCTCCTCCCTCCTCCTCCTCCTCCTCCTCCTCCTCCCCCTCCCCCCTCCTCCTCCTCTCCTCCTCCTCCTCCTCCCCTCCTCCTCCTCCCTCCTCCTCCTCCTCCTCCTCCTCCTCCTCCTCCTCCTCCTCCTCCTCCTCCTCCTCCCTCCTCCTCCTCCTCCTCCTCCTCCTCCTCCTCCTCCTCCTCCCCTCCTCCTCCTCCTCCTCCTCCTCTCCTCCTCCTCCTCCTCCTCCTCCTCCCCCTCCTCCTCCTCTCCTCCCCCTCCCCTCCCTCCGCCTCCTCCTCCTCCTCCTCCTCCCTCCCCCTCCTCTCCTCCTCCTCCTCCTCCGCCTCCTCCTCCTCCTCCTCCTCCTCCTCCTCCTCCTCCTCCTCCTCCTCCTCCTCCTCCTCCTCCTCCTCCTCCTCCTCCTCCTCCTCGCCTCCTCCTCCTCCTCCTCCCTCCTCCCTCCTCCTCCTCCTCCTCCTCCTCCTCCTCCTCCTCCTCCTCCGCCTCCTCCTCCTCCTCCTCCTCCTCCTCCTCCTCCTCCTCCTCCTCCTCCTCCCCTCCTCCTCCTCCTCCTCCTCCTCCTCCTCCTCCTCCTCCTCCTCCTCCTCCTCCTCCTCCTCCTCCTCCTCCTCCTCCTCCTCCTCCTCCTCCTCCTGCGCGGATCGCCGAGCCTTGCACGATCGCGCCTCGCCGAGGGCGCGGATCGTCCCATCAGATTCGGCCACCGGCGGCGCTCGGCCTCAAGGGCCCCGCGCTGGAGTTGAAGCCTCGTCGACAGCCAGACAAGCCGACGGTGTGATGTCTTCAGTGCGCGGCCCAAGAGGGCACGACCCTTCCCTGGAGGTGGGCTCTCGCCCAAAATCCGTTGTGATGGCCCTCGAAGCCTGAGAAAGGACCGCAGGGGACCAAATCGAGGAAAAGCACCCGGAATCGGAGCAAATACCTCGGCGGAGATCTGGGCACGTCGCGTAGCTACCGTACTGTTCAGCTGAAGAGCCCAAACCGCTACTCTGGGACCTCTCCCCTCGGCGTTCGGACAGAAATTTCGAGGCGAATCCAGCCGTGGCGACGAGGGCCTCCCAGAGAGCCCAAGATGGCGAAAACGAGGGAAGGATAGCAGTATGGGTACTGGTTCCTTCTCTGAGTCACGGACCTACCGTACATGGACTTTGCGTACGCCACAGCCTCCCTCTTCGACGCTTCGTGGCCTTCGGGTCGTAACTCAGGCCTCCAGCGGCCGTTCACGACGATCCAGGCACGCCCAGAACGCTGGCAGCGAGGCGCAGCTGCCGGAGACCACCCCGAGGCTGGAAAACCAACGAGAGCCGGCGAAAGCGCCCCAAAACGCCCGAAAACCTCGAACCCGAAACCCGAAGATCCCCCCCCCCCACCCCACGTTCCAAATGCGCTCAAAATCGGCCCCCGGACCCCTCCCAGGATCCATCCGCACCCGTTTCCCGAGAAGGCTCCAGCCGTGGCGACAAAAAAGCCTCGAGGATGCCCAAAAGGGACGACGACCGACGACCAGGCTTAGGTCGGGCATGTCCTCCTACAGGCAGACTGCGGGCGAAAATTCAACAATAGTCCAAAAGTATTCAAACATGTTCAAACATGATAGAAAGATCGCCCCCAGGCTGTTTTTGTTGGACTATGTTTGAGCACTCCTCATGTAGAGGGACGTGCCCGACTTAAGACCAGGCCAGAAAGCCTTCTCCCCCCGCGCCTGGGCAGCAGCCTCAGCAGCTCCGCCTCCACGTGCCGCAGCAGCGCCTCCGGAAGTGGCGCCCCGAGGGCCCCGCAGGACACGAGCAGGCGGCCGACCACCGCGGCGGGCAGCTTCCCCTCGGGGGCGAGGGCGGCGCCGCGGGACATCTGCTCGATGAGGTCTGCGTCCCTCACCTGGGCCCCACGACGAGGAGGGCCTCCAGGAGGAGAAGGAGGGGGAGGAGGAGGAGGAGGAGAGGAGGAGGAGGAGGAGGAGGAGGAGGAGGGGAGGAGGAGGAGGAGGAGGAGAAGGGGACCCCCCCTGCTCGAGGACGGGGCGCCCCTCCTCGGAGCAGCTCTGCGGGCTGGGCGGGCTCCCGGCCGCCCGGGAGAAAGGACCTCCAACGATCGAGCGCCTCGACCGCGCGGAGGCCTGGCAAACCGAGGGTTTCTGTCCTCGGACATCCTCCTCCTCCTCCTCCTCCTCCTCCTCTCCTCCTCCTCCTCCTCCTCCTCCTCCTCATCCTCATCCTCATCCTCATCCTCATCCTCCTCCCCTCGCCCCCACGCGGGCCCCAGGAACGCCCCGAAGAGGCCATCAAAGGCCACCTTCTTGCTCCCAGAGATCTCTCTGTTCATCCTGGTTGCCCGCTATCCTGCACTGTATGTGTCTCTTCGCCCCTTTCCCGTCAGCTCTCATGGGCAACGTTTCTGAATGGGCTGGCGGGAATACGCGAAGCGTGAAGAATCCCACCAGCCCTTTGGGCCAAGGTGGTCTAACGATCTCATGATTTCCTCGTCCAAAGACTCTCTTCACTTTGGGGAGGTGTTACCCCCCACCCACCACTCCCAGAGGTTTTTGAAGCGGGTTCGCGACCAGTGAGGGCGCCCAAGACGAACCAAGATGGCTCCAAGAAGGCCTCCGATGCTCCAAGATGGCCTCCAAAGCGGCTCAAGAGAGCCACAGATGGTTCAAGATAGTGTCTGGCATACCTCCAAGAGGCCCGGCGAAGGCCACAAGACATTTCCATGTGATCTCGGAGCCCCCTCAGGACCCCACTGAGAGGCCAAAATCCATCAAACACCTGAGGACAATCCATGAGTTTGGCCTTCTCGCATTTTCGCTTCTGATACGCGCTTGAGGCCTCAAGATGGCTCCAAGCTGGCCTAAGAGAGGCCAAAGATGGGACTCAAGAGGCCCCCCAGATGGCCCCAAGAGGCCCGAGGGGACCCCACGAGGCGATGTTGATGACCCCAGGGGCGGAGGAACATTGGGACCCCCCTCCCCTTTGATCGATGGCCATCCAAATAGCCTAAAGAGGCCCTCCAGGACTCCCAAGGGACCCCAAGAGGGCCCAAGAGGACTCAAGGAGGACTCAAAGAGGGCCCCAAGACCCTCAAAGAGTCTCAAGGGGACACCAAGAGATTCCCCACAAGAGTCTGAAGAGGGCTCCAAGAGGCAATTTTGAGGGCTTTGCCCTCGTCCTCGTTGTCATATTCCTCCTCTACCTCCTCTTCCTCCTCCACCTCCTCCTTCTCCTCCTCCTCGTCGTCGTCCTCGCACTCATCGTCTTCCTGTTCCTTTTCCAAATTATCCCTCCTCTTCCTCGTCGTCGTGGTCCACGTGGTCGTCATCGTCGTCGTCGCCGTCTTCGGCGTCGTCTTCGTCCTCTGCCTCCTCTTCCTCCTCCTCCACCTCCTCCTCCTCCTCCTTCTCCTTCTCCTCGTCATTATCCTCCTCTTCCTCTTTCTCATACTCTTCCTCCTCCTCCTCCTCCTCCTCCTCCTCCTCCGCCTCCTCTTCCTCCTCCTCCTCCTCCTCCTCCTCCTTCCCTCGCCCCCACGCGGGCCCCAGGAATGGCCCGAAGAGGCTATCAAAGGCCACCCTCTTGCTCCCAGAGATCTCTCTGTCCATCCTGGCTGCCCGCTTTCTTTCGCTAGATGTGCCTCTTCGTCCCATTTTCCCGTCAGATCTCATGGGCAACGTTTCCGAACGGGCTTGTGGGGATGCGCGAAGCGTGAAGCCTAATTACTATTCCGAATATATGGAGTGTCAGTCTTGTCAGCGTGGGCACTGGTCTCATAAATGTGCGCATCAGTAGTCTTGCTGGTCGTAGCCGCGGTATGGTCATTATTTGGATCCGTTTTCCTATGAACTGTTTGAATATCCAGTTCTGGGCAATGCACCACCCTCAGGCGTCTTGGGACGAACAGCACTGCTTGTCTTACTCTTGGCATTCGATCTCACCGCGAGGTGGGCGTGCGCTGCGAGCACGGAGGAGATGCTGTGGACGGTGAGGCCGCCGTCACCGGCCAGTCGGAGCGCCAGCGGACGCAGGGCGGCCAGGGCTGGCCGCCCCCCCGCGGGCGACAGCGCCACCGTACCGTCCATGAGGGCGGCCACCGCGCTGCTCCGGGTGCTGCCGAGGGGTGGGCCCGGCGCAGGGCGGCCCCCACCCTGTCCCCCCATACAAGCTTGCCGAAGAGGTGAGGTTCCTACTTGGTCAAGGGCTGGCGTTTCCTGATGTTCCCTTGCCCGCTTCCTGGAGGTGCCTCGGACTCCCCAGGTTCCTCGGGTTCACCGCCCCCCGTGCCTCCCATTGTTACGTGGCCCGTTTCCCGGAGGTTCCTCGGGTTCCCAGGGTTCCCCCGGGTTCCCCTGGTTCCCTGGGTTCCCCCAGGCTCCTCGGGTTCCCCCTGGGCTGTGCTTCCGAAGCGGATGGAGGCACTGACGCACCCAGGAGTTCCCAGTCCCGACCTGATGATCCAGGGAGGAGGAGGAGGAAGAGGAGGAGGAGGAGGAGGAGGAGGAGGAGGAGGAGGAGGAGGAGGTGGAGGAAAAGGAGGAGGAGGAGGAGGAGGAGGAGGAGGACCAGGAGGAGGAGGAGGAGGGAGTACTGGCTGGAGGTGTGGGGGTGTCTTGCTGGGGGCTCTTTGGGGGGCCAGAGCGCCACCCTCGCCCGAGCCAGGACCCACCCCCAAGAGCACCGGGTCGGGCGCGAGGGGCCTGGCTGGGGGCGGGTGGGGGAGGGGTATAAAGGAGCCCAAGAACACACAAAGTACTCCGACGGTAGGACCCCACGCAAAAACCTGTTGAGCATACCCTTTGCCTTTTCCTCCTCCCCCTTGCGGACATCCTCTCCTCTCGCCCTCTGCACTGCCCTCTCTTCCTCCTTTTTTATCTTCTCCTTCCCCTCCCCCCCCTCCTCCTCCCCCCCCTCCTCTCCCTCCTCCTCCTCCTCCCTCCCTCCTCCTCCTCCTCCTCCTCCTCCTCCCTCCTCCTCCTCCTCTCCTCCTCCTCCTCCCCCTCCTCATCCTCCTGACCCTCCTCTCTCCTCCACTCGCGCCACCTCCTCCTCGTCGTCGCCCCCCCCCTCCCCCGTGCCCCTTCCATCCTCATCCTCCTGCCTCTTCTCCATGTGCACCTTCCGTTCCACCTGGCCGCGGCAAGCAACTCGACGTTCCTCGGCGCCGTCGCCGCGTCGGCCAGCACGCACGCGTTCGCCGACGGCTAGATCGCGAGGCCGTCGGGGCAACCCTTCGTTGGGACAACCCCGCGGGCCTCCAGGCGCGCGCCGCGGCGCTCAGGCGGGCGGCAGCACGAAGCCCAGCTCTGCCGCGAGCTGCTCCGCCTCAGCCCTGGAGTCCACCGCTCTCTTGTCGAACTCCTGGAGCGCGTTCCGCAGTGACGCCGGCGGCCCGCGCTCCAGGAACTCTCGCGCGGGCGGCCGCAGGATCAGCATGTTCCGCACGCACGCGGCGCGGGAGAACACGACGCAGAGGTGCAGCCACCACATCTCGTCCGACATGCCCGCGCGGCCAGCGTCCTCATCCCTGGCGCAGTCGATGGTGACGCCCTTGCGCGCGTCTGGCCCTGCGACAGCGTGGAGGTCAGGTAGGACGCATGCGTCAGCGTGCGCCCCCGAGCTTTACCACGTGAGCTCCTGCTCGCTGGGCCTGAATATGAACAAGCTCCTCGCCCGCGCTTCGGCCTCGGCGTCGTCGGCAGCGCTGTCGGCGCCCTGCTGCAGCACCTCGGCGACCTCCTTGTAGATCGGGGACTCCTGGAAGCCGTGCACCTGCAGCCAGATTCCCTGCGGTAGGTAGCGGGGGCGGTAGAGCTGGCCCGGCGCGCACTCCTCGTAGTCCCGCTCGTCGTCTGCGTGAAACTCGAAAGACACGATGGTGGCCCGCTGCTCCTGCACGAGCCCTGCGCCCGGCCGCCACTTCGGCCGAGGATGGGTTACCACCCCCGGCCCGGACGCAAGGGTTTCCCCCTGCGCCCGCCCGCCGTCGTCCTCCTTTCCGGTTCCTCGTCCTCCTCCTCCTCCGGTCCTCCTCCTTTCCTCCTCTCCTCCTCCTCGCCTCCTCCTCCGCCTCCTCCTCCTCCTCCTCCTCCTCCTCCCTCCTCCTCCTCCTGTCCTCCTCCTCTCCTCCTCCTCCTCCTCCTCCCCCTCCTGCGCCTCAGCTCCAGCTCGCATGCTTCGAGCTGGCTCAGCGCGGGGACTCCCGCGGGGACAGACCGGCGGGCTCCCGCCTGTGACTTCCTCGCGAGTCACTCACAGACGAGGCTCCCGCCTGATACATCCTCCTTATTCAAGCCCTCCGGAGGCCAAAAGTGACGACAGTTACACGTTTCGGATGACCCGCCTCGGATTAAAAACATGAGGTGCGGGCCCCATAGGGAGAGGCTTCCCGCCTGAGACTTCGTCGCAATTCACTCACAGACGAGGCTCCCGCTTGATATTTCCTCCAGATTCACGCCACAGGGGCCCAAAAGTGACGACAGTTACACGTTTCGAATGACCCGCCTCGGATTAAAAACATGAGGTGCGGGCCCCATAGGGAGAGGCTTCCCGCCTGAGACTTCGTCGCAATTCACTCACAGACGAGGCTCCCGCTTGATACTTCCTCCAGATTCTCGCCACAGGGGCCCAAAAGTGACGACAGTTACACGTTTCGAATGACCCGCCTCGGATTAGAAACATGAGGTGCGGGCCCCATAGGGAGGGGCTCCCGCCTGAGACTTCCTCACAATTCACTCACAGACGAGGCTCCCGCCTGATACTACCTCCAGATTCTCGCCACAGGGGCCCAAAAGTGACGACAATTACACGTTTCGAATGACCCGCCTCGGATTAGAAACATGAGGTGCGGGCCCCATAGGGAGGGGCTCCCGCCTGAGACTTCCTCACAATTCACTCACAGACGAGGCTCCCGCCTGATACTACCTCCAGGTTCTCGCCACAGGGGCCCAAAAGTGACGACAGTTACACGTTTCGAATGACCCGCCTCGGATTAGAAACATGAGGTGCGGGCCCCATAGGGGGGGGTTCCCGCCTGAGACTTCCTCACAATTCACTCACAGACGAGGCTCACGCCTGATACTACCTCCAAATTCAAGCCAGGGAGTGAGTGATGACGAAATGATGAGTGAGTGAATAATGATGATGAGTGTGTGATGAATGAGTGATGATGATGCTGAAGATGATCATGATGGCCACTGAGTGGGTGGTCGAGAGATTATGATGGAGATGGTGACGATGATGTTGAGAGTGGCGGCGGTCCTACCGTCGGAGGACCACTGCCTCCGAAGCCTACTGAGGATGAGTGAGTAATTGAGTGAGTGAGTGGGTGATCGAGTGGTGATGATGGTGACGATGATGATGATGAGGATTATGATGATGAGTAATGATGAAGGATTATGATGATGAGTAGTGATGACGGTGATGGTGGTTGATGGTGATGATGATGGTAATGATAATGAGTGTGTGCGTGTGATGACGATGATGGTGGTTGATGGTGATGATGATGGTGATGATGGTGAGTGTGTGAGAGAGAGAGAGGAAAGGGGGGGTGAGATCCTGCGCGGCGTGTGCAGAGAAAACAAGAACCCCACTTTGGATGTGGGGAATAAAAACACATGAATCCCAGGATTCCCCATATGTTCTCATAGTTTCTGAAATATCGTCTTCCCCACAACTTCCGTTTCCCCTGTTTTCCTGGAAATCGACGATGACTTGTGTCTGTGTGATTTTCCCCTCCTGAAGATCACCAGGTCGGGCGCGGGGGGACTGGCGGGGGGGGGGGGCTGCCCTCAGCCCAAGCGTGTCCCGGGCCGCCGGCCGTGGCGCCACGCGCCACGCGCGGCCAGCTTCGCTGCGCGGCGAGCGAGAGGAGGAAGCGAGAAGGAGAAGGCCTTCTCGGAAAGCGGCGGGACTTCTCAGAGGCCCTCGCGCCTTCTGGGAGGCTCTCCCTGTGTCTTCGGAGGGGCTTCGAAGACTTCTCTGAAGGCCAGAGGACTTCAGAGCCTTCTTCTGAGAAGGCCCGCCCGTGAGGAGGAGGAGGAGGAGGAGGAGGAGGAGGAGGAGGAGGAGGAGGAGGAGGGGGCCGCCGATGGACATCTGTCCTCGCCCTCGCGCCCTCGCGCCCTCGCGACCTCGCACCGCCCCCACTGGGGAAGGGCGGCCGTTCCGGCCCAGGCCGCAGCGCAATCACCCTCGCGGCCCCCGCGGGTGGCCTCCGGCCTCTTCCGGGGATATGCCGCGCTAGCCTCCCGAGCGCCCCTCCACAGGGGCCAGGAGGCCCCAGGGCTTGAGCAGGGGATCGACTACAGAAATGACGTACCCGAAATCGATGTCCCAGTCGATTCTACGAAAAACATGGCACAGGATGTTCCGTAAATCTGCTAACACTCCACGTCTGCTTCGAAGATTCGATTGGGGAATCGATTTGGGGGGCAAATCGATTCTGCAGTCGAGCCCCTACTCGATGGGCTCGGAGCTACGTCCGGCCGTCCTCGGAGGGGTGGCGCGGAAAGCGCGGGGGGGGGGGGGGGCATCCCAGCACCACCCCTGGCAGCCCCCGACTGTTGCCGACGCTGGGCTGCCGGTCTGGGGCCGCGAAGGCCTCCGCGCGGCACTTCCGCAGGACCTCCGCGAACAAGGCGTCCGCGACGCCCTGCGGCGCGGGCGTCCCGGTGGAGACCAGCGCGCCCACCAGCAGCGCCAGCTCCCCCAGGCCGCAGTCCGGCAGGGCCGCGGGGAGCGCCTGGCGGCACGCGTAGGACAGGAAGGCGTCGCGGCCAGCGGAGGGCAGGCGCGAGAGGGCCCGAGGCCGCGATGGCCGTCCACCCCCCACGGGTTCGGGAGCCGATGCCCCGAGGGCCTCGGGCTGCAGTGTGGGCGTGGACGCCTTCGGGCTCCGGGCAGCGAGCATGAATTCGGGCCTGTCCCTCTACAGGAGGAAGAATCCAAAATAGCATTGAAAGACAGCAGCAGCAACAACAACAACAACGACAACGGCAACGACACAACAACAACAACAACAACAACAACAACAACAACAACAACAACAACAACAACAACAACAACAACAATAACAACAACAACAACAACAACAACAACAACAACAACAACAACAACAACAACAACAACAACAACAACAACAACAACGACAACAACAACAACAACAACAACAATAGCAATCACAACAACAACAACAACTACATCAACAACAACAACAACAACGACTACAGCAGCAGCAACAACAACAACAATAATAACAACAACAACAACAACAACAACAACAACAACAACAACAACAACAACAACAATAATCACAACAACAACAACCACAACAACAACAACAGCAGCAACAACAACAGCAACAGCAACAGCAACAGCAGCAACAACAACAGTAGCAACAACAACAATAACAACTACAACAATAGCAGCAACAACAACAACACAAACAACAACAACAACAACAACAACAACAACAACAACAACAACAACAACAACAACAACAACCAAAACAACAACAACCACAACAACAACAACAACAACAACAACAACAACACTTACTAGCACGTGGGGACACTCCGTTCTCACCAGTGCCAGGGTTTTCATAGGAGGCGGGCAATACCCCCACTTTGTGGGGGGGCCGGTTCAAGCTCTACCAAATTTCCAAACGACTCTTCGCCACCACCCACACCCAGCTTCCCGCCCTATGACGTTCGGACACTTCACTTCGTGGCATGCGGACGACCGTGGCTACTATTCAGGGCCCCGCGGCCGACGACGACGGCGTGCGCGCGCGAAGAAAAAACGAATGTGTCCCGCATGGTATTATTTGACAGGGATGATGGCCCTGGCAGGTGCGCAACCGTTGTTGCAGAAGTTCGAAAAAGTTGCTCGCAAAAGCCCGTTTGACAGAAATGTTTAAAAAGTGTTGGGTTTCCTACGAATCCGCAAGAGCGCGCGGGATGAAATTTTGACATTTTTTTGTTTTTTAAAAAACCATTGGTTTTTTGATGTTTTTATGTTAAAATCGCTACGAAAACTAAGGTTTTGGAAGGATTTCGTCTTGCGCGCGCGAATGTCCACTTTACCTTATTTTTTGCAAGGGATTCTTGAAGTTTGGTTATGTTAGAACAAGAAATGTCCACTTTAGCTTATTTTTTGCAAGGGAAAGCGGGTCGTAACAAAACAACCGGATCCGGACCAACCCGTTTTGCCTGAGACTTCCTCACGAAAATGATGAAAATGTGGCTGCGGCCTAGGCGCGGCGGGGGGGTCGTGCACCAGGGGTCCCAACAATAATTATTCTTTAGAAGTAATAATGTTCAACAACAACAACAACAACAACAGCAACAACGACGACAACGACGACAACAGCGACAGCGACAGCAACAGCAGCAGCAGCAACAGTAGCAGCAGCAGCAACAACAACAAAAGTCTGGGGACGATATTTCTTTGACTATGCTGATTTTTCGTCCAAAATCCGCTTATAGGGGGACATGCCCGCCCTAAAGCGAGCAAAGGTGTCCGGGCCCGGCGGACTCGGTTCCCGAAGTGGTGGATCTGGACGGATCCGAGCCTCGGCATGGCGTGGCTGAACATGGCCAGCTGCTTCCCTCGGAAGAGGCTCATGTGTCGGGGGAAATGAAAGGGGGGGATAGCTAAGAGTAGGGTAGAGAATCAGCTCACGTAGCTGATTTTCCCAGCGCTCCCCAGCGCCGGGAGGCGCCCATGTATCGAGGAATGGGCCCGGCGACGGGGCCGCCACCGGCTGCATGCAGCAGATTTCGTACCCCCCCTTCCCCTATCCCCATCTTTCGCTCGGCCCGAATGTGCCTGAGGCCGCACGCCGCCAGCAGCGCGTTGAACTCCTCGTTGGCGGCCAGCCGTAGTCGCGAGTAAGCGTCCGCGATGTACGTGAGGTCCTCAATGGATATGTCTCTCTCGAGATGACCGTGTGACACCAGGTGGTCTGCGAGGCCAGCGAGGGTCCGCGCAGCCCCAGGGATCGCGTGGGCGCAGCGGGCCACCGCGTTGGCGAGCAACGCCAGCTGGGCGGTGCTGAACTCGGAGAGGCGCGGCAGAACGACGGCTTCAAGCAGCCTCGGAGGCGCGCAGGAGGGGGGCGGCCTTCCTTCCAAGAAGACAGAGGGCTTTCCAGAAGGGACCAGCGGCTCCTGAGCAGCCCTCTGCCTTCCGGGGGAAGGCCGCCGCCTCGCCGCCGTGCTCCCCAGAGTCTCTGGGGACCTCCTGGGGTCTCCCTGGAGGTGCCCTCAGAAGCGGTTCCAGGACGCCCAAGAAGAAACGCCGCCAGAACACCAAAGTGGGCCCCCCGTGCACGCTGCTGGCAGCCTCGCCCACAGCTCAGGGCGCAGGTAGGAGCAGAGCGCGTAGGCGTTGAGCAGCATGGCGGCCGCCTCTGGGGGCACCTCGCCTGGCGCGCCGTCCGCCGCCGCCTCGAAACGCGCGGCAGCGACGCCCAGCAGGGCCGGGTCGCAGTGCCGCGCGCGCGCCAGCGCGCCGGCGAGGCCAGCCAGCGCGGCGAGGTCGAGGGCGTCGGCCGCCTCCGCGGCGCGGCGCGCGATGGCCGCGCAGGCGTCGCCCGCGCCGCTGGGCTGCAGCCGGGCGATCGCGGTGGCGATCGAGCAGAGGTCCCTGGGCAGTGGCTCCTCGATCTCCAGCCGCCGCTGGGCGGCGGCCAGCAGGCCCTGAACCAGCGCCGGGTTGTCCTCGCCGACCGCGGCGAAGCCCTGGAGGATCTGCCGCGCGTCGCGTAGCGTCAGCTGGCGCCGCAGCGCGAGCGCCCGGGCCGCGTAGGCCTTCCAGAGCGGCGCGTGGCGGTGGCCCAGGGCCCCCGCGCTGGCCACCGCGGCGCCGAGCACGTGGGGGGCCATATGCGGCACCTCGCGGGTGTCAAGCTGGAACTGCAGCAGGGGGGACCGCTCGGCCGCGCGGCGGGCGCGGCCGCCCAGGCCGCGCGGGCGAGGCGGCCATGACATCAGCGCGCACCAAGGGAGGGGCAGACAAGCAGATGAGGGTGGGGAACTCGAGCCGACGGGTCACGAACATCCGGGTACGCCCACGTGGAGGCGCTCAGGCATGCGAGCATGCAAGCGTGCATGCATGCAGCTTCGCAGGCGTCGAAACGTGCATGCATTCACTCAGACACGACAGCCTGCCAGCATACATGCAGGTACGCTGTCAGAAACGACAACGTGCAAGATCCCAGGCATGAAAAATTCCAGCACGCAAGCATAAGAGCACGCATGCATGCAGTCATGCGAGGAACGAAACACAAACACGCAACCTATTGAATGACGCAAGCACGCAAGCGTGCAAACGTGCAGGCACACAATCAGGCAGGCCATCGGGCATGCTGGTAGAAACCGCGTGCAGTTAACGTCGGACGACGCGGGGTCGCTGCCAATGCATACGCAACAGATACCGCAGAGCCGCACAAGGGGCACAAACTCGTAACGTGTTCAGGTAGGCCCGGAAACAGAAATACGCTCCAAGACCGATCAAGCCACCGAGCAAAAAATTAACTCGCACCAAAAAGCATTGGCCAGTAACCCACTCCCTGTATATTCTCGGGGAACCGCTGCGGCTCGCCGAGGTGGCCATCGGGAACAGGGTGAGCTGGCCCGGAACGTCCTGCTCAGGCGCGTAACCATGCAGACTTGCAAGCATGGAAGCGTGCAGACAGGCAGCAGAGCAGACAGTCAAGCATGCCAAATAGCAGGCGGACATGCAAAACTCAGCAAGTTCTCGAGCAGACAATACTGCAAACACGCAGTACTGCAGGCCAGCGGTACAGCAAAGTATACATGCAAGCATGCGAGTACGTACGCAAACGCGGAAGCATCCGAACGTGAACACTTTATGCGCAAACATGCAACTGCACGCTTGCTGTTACCAGTGATGTAGGAATATGTACAGCGGTAGTATTTGGACACTGCCTGACGCACAGCGCCTCTCAAATCTCTTCCGCGGTCCGAACAACCCACCACTTCGCTGCCTTTGACTTGCACGTACACGTTGCAATCACGTACCCCGCATGCGATTATGCAGGCGCGGAAGTTCTCCAAGCATGAAAGCATGCAAAATCGGAAACGTCATTGCACGCGAACGTTGGAACCGGCAGTCGCGCAAACGTACGAGCGCGCACGCAGAAATGCAATCGCACTGACATCGAATCATTCAGCGCACGCAAGAAAGCAAACATCCAGGATAGTGAACACGAATGCACGAGTAGAACTGTACAGACTAACAGCCTTCGGTCCAGCTGAGCAGACGCGAGGCCAACAGAAACGGCAGGAGGCGGAAGCGGAGGAGGCGAGGAAGAGGCATGCGGGGCGGACGGGGCGGCCACAGCGACGGGGCGGCCACACACGGAGCCCCCGAAGAGTCGACGCGGGATCACCCTTCGGGATCACCCTTCGGGATCCCAGGGAATGAATACTGCCGATGAGGAAAGCGAGCGGTAGCACGACAAGACCACGCCGAAACCATGCGAGATCGAAGACTTGAACAAGGAAGGGCCGGTCGGAGTGCGGAATTGCGCACAAGAAACTACGCGGCAGAACTACATAGACAAGAAAACGTGATACAGGGCTGTAACTACGGGCGACGATACGGGAACTCCATACGGGAACTCCATACGGGAGACCATACGGGAGACCGTATGGGAAACAATGCAGGAGACCCCACGGGAGACCATACAAGAGACCATACGGGAGACCATACG